AATTTTCTTCCCAGGAGAAAACACATCCGCACTTAAGAAAGGATGTCAATTGGCTACAAGTGAAATCTATTTTATTTTTTTTTGGCCGATGAATTTGTAGCACTTGTAGTAATTACTTGTTATATAGTAATACTTGTAGTACCTTGTAGTGAGTGGGATTCAACATGTTGACTGCGTTACTTTTTCCATTTTAAGTTTTTGAATCAAAGCCTTATGAAAGAGAAATGAAAAGAGAAAGGGCAAGAGAGAAAGAGAAAGCGAAAGAGAAAGAGAAAGAGGCAAAGGAAGATGAACTCCAGGATCAGCATTGGAAAAGTTTGCTGCAATTGTGAACCCTGAGAACAAACCTACTAAAGTGAATTGGACCCTCTCATGGCCCAGTGCCTTGGAAATTTGTGGAAAAATTGTTCTTTAATAAGGGTTTAGTAAGCGGTCTGATTCTTTTGGGAAAGGTGTGGGCTTTGAATTTTGCAATTGCTTGTGGCAAAGGCCTACTTTTCTTCCCTTGGCTCCAGGATCAGCTCTGGAAAAGTTTGCTGCAAGTGTGAACCCTGAGAACAAACCTACTAAAGTGAATTTGACCCTCTCATGGCCCAGTGCCTTGGAAATTTGTAGAGAAACTGTTCTTTAATAATGGTTTAATAAGCGGCCTGATTCTTTTGGGAAAGGTTTGGGCTTTGAACTTGGCTATTGCGTGTGGAAAAGGCCTACTTTTCTTCTCTTGGCTCCAGGATCAGCTCTGGAAAAGCTTGCTGCAATTGTGAACCCCGCGAACAAGCCTACTAAAGCGAATTGGACCCTCTCATGGCCCAGTGCCTTGGAAATTTGTGGGCGAACTGTTCTTTAATAAGGGTTTAATAAGCGGCCTGATTCTTTTGGGCTTTAAATTTGGCAATTGCTTGTGGAAAGGGCCTACCTTTCTTCTCTTGGCTGCAGGATCAGCTCTGGAAAAGTTTGCTGCAATCGTGAACCCTGAGAACAGACCTACTAAAGCGAATTGGACCCTCTCATGGCCCAGTGCCTTGGAAATTTGTGGAAAAATTGTTCTTTAATAAGGGTTTAGTAAGCGGTCTGATTCTTTTGGGACAAGGGGGAAAAGCAAGATTTTTTCAGAAAAAATGTTCAGATGTTTTTACACAAACTTTTTTGGGACAAAAAAAATCCCCGCCAAGATTTCTTGCCACAATAGTGAAGCTGCCAAACAACGCATGGGTTCAGAATAATTTGGAAAATTTGCCACAATAGCGAACCTATCCACTAATCAGCACCCAACATTAGCGGAAGATTGTGGATTATAGAACATCAGCTAGGGTGTTTAAAAAAAAAAAGGGTTCGGGGCCCAAAACTGGATTCGGGGCCCGAAAGTGGAGGAGAGGAGGAAGGTAAGAGGTTAGGAGGGTATGAGGACATGAGGTTAAGAGGGTGGGCGAGGAAAACCATATGCGACAAGGAGATGAGCAACAGCCACATGGTGTGACCCGGTATATATTTGGGCACCAGCAATATTGGAACTGCAGCTTCTGATCCTTGAAAGATCTTGAAAATCAACAGGTTGGCCCAACCAACAGGAAAAAAGAAATCCAAAAATGAATTTCAATAAGAGCCTCCCCCCTCGATTTCAAAAATAGTGTCTAGGGGGATAACAAAATATAATAAAATGCATTGTCCGCATCGGGCGCCACATAGTAGCATTGTTTTGCTTCAGAAACCGTACCATGCTGGCACGGCCATCAGACTTGGATCCAATGCATGAGTGCAACGCAGGTCGCGCATGGAAATCAAATTTTGACTTGAGCATTGCAGCAAACCTTGCTGGTCCCATATGGACTGGTTAGACACACGACGTAACCTGCATTTCTGCAGCTGAAGTACTGGCGTGGGCAGCGGGTTCATCCACAGAAGCCTCAGCCAGCTGTAGTGTCCATGACAAAATCATGTTTCCACGGTTCTAAATATCTGTTCAATATTGGTTATCAGGATGAATATAATAAAATAGCGCGGGTATTTTTCGGTCGTTTTCCCGATCTGCCAACTGGTCTTGCATTGCAGATTCCAAATCTGTCTTCAGCCCTTTCACCCACAGATATCGCATCTGTGCTTAGCCCCTTGGTCCATTCTTACTGTGACGCGGAAAGAAGTGTCGAGTCAGCCTAGTCTGGCTCCACAAGAGCTTTGCAATGCAAAAGGCCTACTGTGAGATAGTGTAAGGTGCGGAGGCCTAAGGCGCGGGAAATTCTTTCTGACAGCATTCAGGTTAATATGTAACGAACCATCAAGAATTCACACAAAACCGTGCGCGCCCTATTCGCCCTATTCAATTCCCCATACACATATTTCAAGGGAACCCGAAGCCACACTATCCAATCACCACGGTGCCAACTTACATTTACATGTATATAATTTATATATATATAAATACATATAATTGTTTATTTATAATATATATATATAAATAAATAAATACATGATCATGATCTTACTTATCGTACTTTCTAATTCAGATCCCCCAGCGGCCCTGACTAACTAGCACTCACTCAGTTTCAGTCCAGCTGCCTCGCTGATTAGATTGTTTGAGTGAGGGGCCCCGACTAAAAAAGAAATCAATACCAGTAGTACCACACAAGGCGGTGGCGGAAGTTTCAACAATAGGTTAGGAAACCTATAGGAAGGGTTGGTTGTTGTGACTCACGGATGGCAGAGCAAATCCACTGATGGACCGAAAGGTGGTTGGAGTTTTTTTCTGGAGTGGTTGCAATGGTTGCAGTGATCACCTCACCTAGTGTAGTGTGGTATAGTGTAGTGTAGTCTAGGGTAAGGTAGCGCAGTTGTCGTTGTAGTGTAGGTAGTGTAGTGTAGTGTAGCATTGTGTTGTGCTGTGTAGTGTTGTGTGTTGTGTAGCGTAGCATAGCGCAGTGCAGTGCAGTGCAGTGTAGCGTAGTGTAATTTAGTGTGGCGTAGTGTAGTATGTGTAGTGTAGTGTAATGTAATGTTGTGGTAGTTGTAGTTGTAGTTGCATCTGCAGTTGTAATTCTATAGTGTAATGTAATCAGTGTAGTGTAGCGTTGTGTAATGTAGTGTGGTTGTAGTTGTAGTTGTATTTGTAGTTGCCGTGTGCTGCAGTGTAGCTAATGTAGTGTAGTGTAGTTGTGATTGTAGCTGTAGTTGTGGTAGTAGTTGTTGTTGTAGTTGTTAGTGTAATTGGTGTAGTGACGTGTAGTGTAATTAGTGTAGTGTAATGTAGCGTAGTATATTTGTTTTTGTAGCTGCAGGAGTAATGTAGTGTAGTGCAGTGTAGTGTAGTGTAGTGTAGTGGTAGTGGTAGCTGTTCTAGTTGTAATTATCTATCTATCTACCTATCTATCTATCTGTTTGTCTGCCCCTGTGTCTGTCTACCTGCAAGCTTGAAAACGCAGCAGTTCTGAGAGACTTCCTCAAGTTTTGAACTCGACAACGTCAAAAACGAAACAATTCTTTCAAAAATGGAAAGTTGAGTGCAGAGCTGACGGCCTCGTACCAATGCGTTTTGCGATTTTTCCACTCCACGTGTCTAAAGTACTGCGCCTGCCACCAAAAAGTGATGCCAGGTCGTACGAAGTGCTGCACCTGTCACGCAAAATCATCTCAGCAAACCTGAAGATCTGATGCTCCAAAATGCAACCCCTCTCAGGAAATCAGCGCCCGGACCTCCTAACAGCTCTGATGAACATGTCCCTTGCACTGCGCCTGCCACAGAAAATGCATCTCAGCAGATCCTCTTCACATGCCCCACGCCTGCCATCGTTTTTGGAAATGCTACAAAACCCTCACGTTTTGCTCACTTTTGACAAGGTGCACAATCCCTTGCACCTGCCACGCGAAACGACATCTGAACGTCCAAAAGTGGACCGAACATGTAGTGTTTGTACGGAGCCACAAATCATTAAAAACAGTGCTTCGCGACTTTCCTACCTTTTCGCGCACCTGCACCTTCTTTCTTGTGAGACTTTCCCTTTTGTGATCTTCTTTCTTCTTCTCTTCTTTTCTCTGACTCTTCCCATCTCTGCTTTTCATCTGTCCATATTGTCGGAAGTTTGACTTCTAAACGATCTGATGCTCCAAAATGCAACCCTTCTCAGGAAATCAGCGCCCGGACCTCCTAACAGCTCTGATGAACATGTCCCTTGTATTGCGCCTGCCACAGAAAATGCATCTTAGCAGATCCTCTTCACATGCCCCACGCCTGCCATCGTTTTTGGAAATGCCACAAAACCCTCACGCTTTAACCTTGCTCACTTTTGACAAGGTGCACAATCCCTTGCGCCTGCCACGCGAAACGGCATCTGAACGTCCAAAAGTCGACCGAACACGTGATGACTGTAATGCTTTTAACATTTTGACCTCGACATGTGCTTCGCGCCACCACAGCGTACACTTTTTCGACATTTCAACTTCCAGAAGCGGTCGAATGTGGTGTGTTTTGCACGTTTTGACTTGGAATTGTGCTTTGCGCCACAAAGGCGTGCACTTTTTCGACATCTCAAGTTCCCTCCGACACTGAAGCGTTTTCTACATTTTGGCTTCGAAATATGCTTCGCGCTACAATGGCATGCACTTTTTGGACATCTCAACTTCCAAAAGTGGTCCGAACATGGTGTGCTTTGTACATTTTGACTTGAAACTGTGCTTCGCGCCACAACGGCGTGCAACTTTTCATCTCTCATCTGGCCACATGGCTCCGCACCCGCCGCTTTAGCGAGCCTACTTTTCGACCCTCCGGAGCCAGAAATCATTGGAAAAACACAGTGTTTCGCGACTTTCCCACCTTTTCGTGCACCTGGATCTTCTTTCTTCTGAGACTTTCTCTTTTTTGATCTTCTTTCTTCCTCTCTTCTCTTCTCTGACTCTTCCCATCTCTGCTTTTCATCTGTCCATATTGTCGGAAGTTATCTTCTAAACTTCCTTCGATAAATCAATACTTCTTTGACACCCCGTCGTCATTATTTAATATGTGATATACATGCTTAATATACAGGCTGCGTCGGTGTGCTTGCATCGGTGTGCTTGCGTCTGTCTGATTCTGTCTGGCTGCCTAGCTGGAGGTGCAGGTGGCACCTGTACATCACAGATCTGCTACATTGCAATTTTACTACGTTTTCTTGTGGGGTATTGCCGAGGTACCTTATAAGACCTTCGGAAGGATGCTCAAAGATTATCTGGTCTTCTCCATCCAAGCAGGTCCCACTCCTGCTCGCATTGTTGTTTTGCGTGCTGTCAGATTTGTGCCTTGGAAATGACCCATAAGAGTACTCTGACGTGCTCATTGTAGTTGATGATTTGATTTGGCCCTAGTCTGTCTGCGCATTCCCCCGAGCATCGCATTGCACGTGGCAATGCCAACTATGGCTGCCTGGCCTGCTCCAGCTAAATCTCCACATGCTGGCCATCACCAACCGCAGCCAATCGCAGAAAATCTATGAGACTCTTATTGGCCTATCCAAAACATTCTGAAATGCTATCCTGTTGCCCCTTCCCTGCCCCTACCCTGCCTCAAATCAAATAAAGGCATTTGAGGCCACTTGGCCCGGAACTCCAGGCTGTGCTGAAGACTTTTTAGATATCTTTGCAAGGCTTCACCGTTCCTGCACAAGCGGGTGAAGCCGCATTCGAGGAATGCGTCAACAAAGAACCGAATCAAGTTTGCAAATGCGCTATACAGGTGTGTGCATCTGTTTCGCCGAGCCACTCCAAAGAAGGGCGTGCCAGTGAGAAATGGAGAAACTGACTCAGGTGGTACCTCTGTTGCAGTCGGAAAGGTTTCGCAAGTAGGCCGCAAGCATATTGCATATCATAATTGCACATCACTGCTGCACAGCCCTTGTCAGTCCAAGTTGGGGCAAGCCACACGGTGCTTGCAAGAAAATCCGGCTCAAAATCCCGCACCCTCTGCAGAGTCAAGGACAGTTCCTTGTAAGATCGAAGCTTGGCGTCAAGTCAAGTTCATGGTGTCAACACCAGTAAGAGGCCATGCGCGTGTTGATATTTTGGGTGTGGGGGTGGGTGGGGGTTGGGGGGTTGGGAGGGGATGGGTGGGTTGGGGGGGTGGGATGTTAACGTTCATTGCGACTGCAACCACGTAGTGCGTTCTCCGCCACTTCCACACATACGTCATGCTACGCTGCTGCACATTCTCTTGCACTTCCACACGTACGTCATGCTACGCTGCTGCACGTCCTCTTGCACTTCCACACATACGTCATGCTACGCTGCTGCACGTCCTCTTGCACTTCCACACATACGTCATGCTACGCTGCTGCACGTCCTCTTGCACTTCCACACATACGTCATGCTACGAGCCAGAACAGCTTGCTATGCTGATGGTTGCAAAGTTGAAAAGCTTGGAAAGGAGCCTCCAAACAGCAAGTGCCAGAAAAACGCCTCAAATGGCAAAACGTTGCCCACAACCGCGGTGAGTTTGTGAAGCTTGGCCGGAACACACACTTTAGACAGACAGCGGGATGGGTAGACAGTGGGATGATGTGGGATGCGTTAAAAACACGATTCCCCAGCAGTTGCATACACATAAAGACTGCAGACAAGACTTCAGAAAAAAAATTAGAAGTACAGTACTTGTATGCTGCAGTCTGGCGCAAGAGCGTCAAAGGCAATGTCCTGAACAACCTCGGACAACTTTGTCCTTGAAAGGAAAAAAGGAACTTTTCGGCGAAACCCTCGACGAACAAAACTCCTGTTTCGTGCTTGTAAAACAGTAGGTTTTCCACTTTTGAAGCGACCCTTCGAAGGGATTTGCACCAGAAATTTATTTCAGAAATATAAAAATGTATAAATTACTGCAGTTTCGGACACTTCCCTCATCGTCCTGGCACTGTGTGATGTCATCACCGACACGGCCTCTTACAGGTGCTGTTACCAAATTCATGATGTTCGTGCGGCGTCTCTCTGAAGCAATTAGTTGGTCTCTTCTGTGGGACACAGCCGCTCCATAATTTAGGCCATACCTGCTTACTCTTTATCCATGCTTGTGCCTACGGCATGAAGCACAGCAGACCAGGAGGACGATGACAGCAAGTGCCAACATGTGCCAACGAGATGTTCAATATGTCCTACGGTCTTCATCACGTCATGTCAAATCGAGTCGAATTATATATATATGTGTGTGTGTGTATTATCGAAGGAAGTTTAGATGTCAAACTTCCGACAATATGGACAGATGAAAAGCAGAGCAGGGAAGAGGCAGAGAGAAGAGAAAGATTAGAAGAAAGAATAGTAGAAGA